ATCACACTGCCACAGACCTGCCACAGGAAGCGCCACGTGCTCACAACGGTGGAAGTAACCACTGGGTGGCTGGAAGCTTACCCAGCGCCCCACGCCACCACCCGGAACACCATCCTGGGCCTTGAGACCCAAGTCCTGTGGCGACACGGCACCCAAGAAAGAACTGAGTCAGACAATGAGACCCACTTCCGAAACAACCTCATAAATGCCTGGGCAGAAGAACACGGCATCAAGTAGGTCTATCACATCCCCTACCACGCACCAGCCTCTGGGAAGATCGAGCGCTACAATGGACTGTTAAAAACCACATTGAAAGCACTGGGAGGTGGCACCTTCATAGACTGGGACATGCATCTAGCAAAGGCCACCTGGCTAGTCAACACAAGAGGATCTGCCAGTCGAGCTGGCCCGGCTCAGTCGAAACCTCCACGTGCTGTAGATGGGGATAAAGTCCCTGTGGTGCGCATGAGGAATATATTGGGAAAAATGGTCTGGTTTAGTCCTGCGCCAGGCAAAGGTAAAGGCAAACCCATCCACGGGATTGCTTTTGCTCAAGGACCTGGGTGCACCTGGTGGGTGATGTAGGACAATGGGGAGGTCCGATGTGTACCACAGGGGGACTTGATTCTGGGTGAGAACATGCCGTAAATTATGCTGTGCCTGTGTAGATTATTACTTTGTTATTGTTAACTGCTAAATGGCAGCTGGACATGACTCAGATGGTATAGAATAAAGGGGTGGATTATGTCCTGGTTCATCCAGGACAGAGTAAAGTTATCCCCAGCAGAGAGAGAGGGGGAAGGGATCTCCAGCCGGGTTATTCATACCATGATGGCGTCAGGTCCAGGGGCGGAGCCTTTTTACTTTCTCTTCTGGTTTTGTTTTTTGCCATACATGCGGCGGGTTTGCTCCTTGATCATTTAGCAGTATTTCTCTGTATATCTCTTGCCTTGTTCACTGTTATTGTTGTTTATTGTTGTGACCATTGATACTGTTGTTATTCAGATTGTTCTATCACTCCGTTGTATTAAATTTCTTGTTATTTTAGCCGGGGTCTGTGTTTAACTTCCAGCCCGACCCGTGCGGGCAGGGGAGGGGCAACAGCCACGTGCTCTCTCATCCCGGCAAGAATTAAACCTTGCACATCTAGTTTGGAGAAAAGGAGGCTGAGGGGAGACCTCACTGCCCTCTACAGCTTTGTGGGAGGTGGAGAGGGAGGTGAAGAGGGAGGTGCTGGTCTCTTCTCCCTGGGATCCAGCAACAGGATTCATGGGAATGGCTCAGACCTGAATTAGGTGAGGTTCAGACTTGACATTTAGGAACATTTCTTTGGGGGTAGTCAAGCACTGAACAGGCTTCCTAGGAAGGTGGTTTGTGGCCCATGCCTGTCAGTGTTTAAGGGGCATTTGGGCAATGCCCTTAACACGCTTTAACTTGGTCAGCCTTCAATTAGTCAAGCAGTTGGACTAGATGACCCTTGTAGGTCCCTTCCAGTTGGAACTATTCTGAGTACTCCAGTGTACTCTACAGTTGTGTGTTCAGCCCACAGGACTAAACTAGAGCTGGTTTGAAGTTAAAACCCTCTGAAAGGCAGGTTAAGTTGGCTGTTAGGTCCTCATGAATCCCTTCACTCTATATAGTTCCATTTCTGTTAGGTTGCTGTACCTGCAAGTATACGCACAGCCTATGGTAAAGAGACTGTTCCTTCTCTTGTGTGTGATTTTTATTTCTAGGTGATCTCTTTCAAAATAGTTTGTGGCTCTGTAGACAGTGACTTTCAAGGACTTGAGGTGGACAAGTTAGTTGCTACTGCATTTTAGATGTGTAGGAAGGCAGCAGAGGAAGCTGGTGGTGAAGATATTGGCAGGACAAGTTCCTGTGATTCCAGCATAGCTGTTCTGTGGGCAAACAGAAGGGATAAAACTCTTTTTTTCTATCTTCATCACATAGGTGTAGTTTCTTTTCCACACTGTATGCATTTCATATGCATATTTGTGTATTCAATCTCACACTACGTGAGCTGCACTAAAACTACGGCTTTTTAAAATCAGACAAATCTAGTAGTCAGATATCCTTCTGTTCCTAAAGAAATGGTTAAACAATGTTCAATTATATATCACTTTCCTAGGTGATATTTCTTCACCCTTTTCTATATAATACAGTATTTTGCCTGTGTTTATGTAGATAGGTGAGAACAACACTTACTTTGATCCCAATATCACATTATTTAAATGGAGGTACAGACAAGCAGGGATCTCAAGACTGATAAAAGTTTTAAACAAAGATTTAAGTTCCCAGAGGTGGAAAGACTTGGGCAACTTTTTAAGCACCTTTCTGCCTGCCTAATCCTGAGCTTTTCCAGAAACTAAGGTAAGGCATTGGAGCTGAATTACAGTGACCTGCTGTGGTCACACATGGAAGGCTAATTCCCTGGGTCTCCCAATTGCCTGCCCCAATTTACTTCTGCACCAGAAAGAGGTGGGGAAGTCTTCTGTCACTAACTTCTTGACTTCTTCATGCAGTTTTGGTTTGGGGGTGCTCCCCATAGTGGATTTTAAAAAAATCCTCCTCCTATTCCAGACTTTTGGCCAACTCTTAAGAATCAAGGCAAAGGGAGAGCATCACATCCTGTTGGGGTTTTTTAACATAAAGCAATAAACATGGCTTAGTGTGAGTATCTGTGGTAGGTTTGACCTTGGCTGACTGCCTGATGACCATTCAGCTGCTCCCCTTCATCTCCTTAACAGGACAGGGATAAAATAGGATGAGAAATCTCATGGGTCAAGATAAAGACAATGAGATCATTTACTGGGTGCCATTGCAAAAACAGACTCATCTTGGGGAAGAGTAATTTATTGCCAATTGAAAGTATAGTAAGAAACAAAACCAAAACTTAAAACACCTTCCCCCACCCCCACCCCCCTTCCCTTCTTCCTAGGCTCATCTTCACTCCTTCATTCCTGACTCTTCTGCATCCTCCCTCCTCAAGTAGGGCAGGTTGGATAGAGAATGAGGATTGCAGACAGTTCATAAACCTTCATCTCTGCTGTGTGTTCCTCTTCACGCTGTTCCACTGCTGCAGCATGGGGTCCCTCTCCACTGGGATACAGTCCTTCATGAACTGCTCCAGCATGGTTCCTTCTCACAGGCTGCAGCTCTTCACAAACTGCTCTAGCCTGGGTCCTTTCCATGGGGTACAGTCCACCTGGAAAAGTCTGCTCCGGTGTGGGTCCCTCAGGGGCCATAGTTCCTGCCAGGAACTTGCTCCTGTGTGGGCTCTCCATGGGCTGCAGCTTCCTTCAGGGCACATCCACCTGCTGCAGTGTGAAGTCCTCCAGAGGCTGCAGTGCGGATATCTTATCAGGCGTGGTCCTCCATGGGCTGCAGAGGGACAGCCTCCTCCACCATGGTCTTCTCCATGGGCCACAGGGGAATCTGCTGCAGTGTCCTTCCCTCATTCCCCACTGATTTTGGTGTCTGCAGAGCTGTTTCTGTCACATTTTTCTTACTCTTTTCTCATGCCTGCTGCATAGCATTTTTTTACCTTTTCTTAAATGTTTTCACAGAGGTGCCATCAGCTTTGCTGTTTGGCTCAGCAGTGTCCAGTGGTGGCTCTGTTTTGGAGCTGACTGGAGCACACTGTTTCTGGCTTGGGAGAGCCACTGGCTTCTTCTCACGGAGGCCATCCCTGCTCCTTCCTGAGTTGCCACGTAGACCAAATATCGTAAGTCATGTTTCCTCCTACAGGGTATGCTAACTCCAAGCAGTTTAATGACAAACACATTAGATTGAATTTCCAAGGGGAAAAATGTCTATGATTCACCTCTAGTGTTTTGACGTGAAGTGTTCTTATTCTGTCTCTTTTCAGAGCTGTCATCCTATTCAGCTGCTCTACATGTTTCTTCACGTTTTTCCACAGTTGAATCCATGTGGGTCAGACAGAAGTCCAAAGTGGAAGTACTTCTGTTTCTCTAATAAGTTCCAAATTCCTACCTCTGTTTGCAATGCTCTCAAAAAAAAAAATAAAATCCAGGGTTGACCCTGTACTACTGCATGCATGAGCTTGTTGCTTATTGTTTGCAAATACTTTAGTAGTCACAGTAGTCTGCAGGTATTAATCTGCCACATATGTTAAATACATAAAAATTATAGTAGGTGACCTTCTGTAACAAATTAGTCCATTGAGGCCAGCTTCGCTCTTTCCTTACGTACCCACATACCCTCTTAGGCTTCACGGTTTAGAAAGTCATACAGGCAAAAGCCTCTTCATATTGTGACAGTGTTAATTTTCCTTTTTAAATATTGTCTTCCCTTCAACTATTATCTTTTTTTACCCTCTCCCCAGTTTTCAGTCAAGCTCAGAAAAATAGCCTCACTTTTCTCCCCAGTTGCTTGAATTCAAATGAGGTGATAACCAGTATGGATGAAACATCAGAAAAGCCCCTGCAAGCCTCTAAGCAGTTCTTTGTCCATTTTCACTTGTACAGTCCCCTGGGTTGCTGTCCATATACTTCAGTCCCAACCTTTAAAGAGATTGTGTTCTAGCTGCATTCTCACAGATAGTTGTACAGAAGTATGAGGAGCAACACACTTGAGTAAAATGGCTAGAATTTTGCACAGGCTTTTGATAGTCACTCACTTCCCTTTAAAGAACAACATATATTCGGTTTAAGTACATCATGCTTCTTTTGTGTATCTGTCTGCTGTTTAGCATGGAAGAAATTGTAGGGAAAGAGATTCTTAATGTCTACCAGACACACAATTATAAGGTTTTACTTCTGACTCTTAAATACCCCCTTGAATATATGGTAGATGAGTACCTGATTACTTGCCTTTGTGGTTTAGCTGCATTTTCTGGAATCTTGTTTGAAGAAGTGAAGGCTGGGTCAGAATGTGATGGATCCTTTGTGAATGTCTGGGGCTGGTCAACATACGAGTCTCATAGGTTGCAAAGTTTCCATGTTCTGCTCCTTGAGAGGTTCTAGCCAGTTTAGCATTTTTATATATGAGGCACATACATGTTGGCCTAATATAAAATAATCTTGTAGATTAAATGGTATTTTCATTACAGAATATCGATTGCTAATAAGTCAAGAATTAGCACCCAAATAAGGGTTGATAGTGCAATTGTGAGTAGAGGTGCTCTTCAGGTTTTTTGGAGTTCTCTAATACATATTAGAAAAAATATATTATTTTTTAAAACTGCTATTTTAAGTCAAAACTTTCAGAAGTAACTAGTTATTTTAAGGTGTGTTAAAGAGACCTGCCTTTTCTGAACACTACGTAGCCAGATAATGTACATGCAAACAGGAGGTTTGTGCTGAAAATCTTTGTCTGGTTTCTTTTTAACCTATGGTATACAGCAGCCCACTGGGAATATATTTTTTATTTCCAAACGAAATAAAATTTAGCTCCTTTTTTTTTTGATGTTGCCTGTCTGTAGGTGTGCCTTCCTTTCAGAGAAGAGGTTCTGGATGATGAAGCACATACCTGAATCAAAACACAAAATGGTTATAGAACATGGGAGTAAAGTCCAAAGCATCTTCAGTTCATTTAGAAGGAACAGTATGAACCTTCATCTTGCACAGTTCCTTCCATGAACTTAGGAACAGAACGCTGCATTGCAAAGATGAGATCCTTCAAATTAGTGTTAAAGCCAATGAGGGAATAAAAATTTGACTGTAATGCAGCTAAATTCAGTTCAAATGTTTCAGAAAGTGTTTTACTGAGAAGGAGAATGTGTCTGTTTACATGCAGGTTTTGGGGTGGGCTCTTTTTTCACCCCTTTGAATGATCAAGTTGTAGAAGTCTTAATTTAGATAGAACTTCTCATACCAGCTAGGAGGAATGAGTGAGGAGGGGTTATTCAGAATGAGTGTGATCAAATGAGAATTTTATTTTACTTTTTTTAAAAAAAGCAAACTTCAGTAAGTAGCTTTAAGATTAGGATGACTGAAGCAGTTTGCTTTGTACTTTTATGCCTCACACGCACAGCGTCTCTTGCAAATTCAATTATTTATATTTGAAAGACATCGGAAATCCAATCAGCTGGTGATGAACTTACCTGCAGTGGCCTGCAGATGTGGCTGAAAAAGTTAAGAGTTTCTGAAAGGAGCTATACTGATTTGATTTTTTTGTTGCCATTATCATCCCAGTTGTGTTGAGATCCAGAGTTCTGGAAGATGAGATACTTACCTATGAAGAGCACTAGCAGGTACATTTTCAGAACATAAGGGAAGTAGATTGAGAAGGCGAATGGACAGGGTAGCTCGATGGAGTATGTGCCAAAGGATTCAAAATAAGGCAGTGATATACAAATTGCAAATGCTGTAAAATAACATGGTTAAGTCAAAAGGAGGTGGAAGATCATCAAAAAGCTTCATATAAAAGTCAGTTACCTCTAAGGTATAGACAGCTGTATTATATGCTGAATTTACCACATCATTCATATGCATACGCGTGTGTTGTTTGCCTCTTGAGTTCAAGTTTTGTAGGCCTGAAGTGCTAATTGCTCTTAGTACTAGAGTTAGCAAGTATTTCCTATTCAGTAACAAGTTACGTTGCTCCTGTAGTTGCACTGCTTTCAGTATTACCTCAGTGGGCACATTTCCTGGCCTGAGTATGATTAAGCTGCTAAGTATGGCCTGAGCCAGTAAGGTCAGCCTCAGTGAGGGAGAAGGCAGCTTTGGGACCACTAATGTGGTCAGCCTGGAATGGGGGAATCCCTGTGTCTTTTGTGGGGATATTTTATTGCTTTTGATGAAAAATATGAACATTTTCTCATGTTTTTAAGAAACAAAACAAACCCACACACAAATCACAGTGAACCCTTATTAAGGAGAAAGTGCAGAAAAGAGAAAAATAGGTGACATCCAGGTTAGTATGAGAGTACATAAATATTCGCACTACTTTGGCAAATAAAAAGAAATATCTTAAACACAAATGACAATTGAACTGACCACATTTTCACTGAAGAAGATGAAGGAAGCAAGTCACTGGTGACTTTCTCATTTTCTTACCTTTAGCCAGAACTGAAAGGGGATAGAGTGGGATGCACAGTGAGAAATTGAGCCATGTCAGTGGTAGGTAGTGTATTCCCATCCTTGCTAACATGTTGTAAGTGTATCTGCAATAAGAGGAACAGAAGATGATCTCAGAGGGAATGATTATGTCTTAAAAATATAGTGTTGAAGAATCCAAGGGAATTGCACAAGAACTTGGAGCTGCCTATCTGAGATTTCAGAGAAATTCTGCAACAGTTTTGTTCAGGCTCTGATTGATGTCTGAAATAGATAGTTCATTATTTCAGAAGAGTTGCCTGGTGCTGCCCTGGAGCAGGCAGACAGCGATAACAGCTTTCCAGCCCACAGGCTGTGTATCCAGAAACCAACATGATTTCATACTGTTCCATCAGAAAATGGATTTAAGATAGGGATGTTACAACTGAGAGGGGCAGGCAGAATATGACTGTTGCTTGGGGCTGAGAAAATGCTGATTTGTGACTGCCTGAACTAGCTAATCCAGGCTAAACAGCAAGGTAATCACAGGTATTTAATCTTCTGTAGTACAGCTGCCCCTCCCCTGGACCCCAGAAGGGGTAGTAGGTGAAAAAAAAGCAGTTGTGCTCCAGTGTATTGCAATGTTTTATTCTTACTGTGGCTGTTACTGTTGCTCAGTGGGAGACCAGAATGCCTAGGACTTCAGTCTCCAAAGGTGAGCTAATCCTAGCTAGGATCTAAGTCTAAAAATGCTACATCTAAAGCTTAAACTAAAAATGGTACAGCAGCTTTCCAAACACTGGAGAAACAGGTCTGATTGCATTTTTGGTCAGCTGAAAGGCTTTTTGCACTGTGTCCTGCTAGAGATACAAAAATAAGAACATTTAAGCCACTCTTAGCTGTGACTGTTTCTGACAGATGGAACCAGCATTAAACAAGCTTTCTGTATTCCTTTCTTATTAATTCATTTGACTAATTTTGCATCATTCCTGGACTGTAGAAGAGTTTGATAGGCTATATATGTCCTGTCATCTCTCAAGTTTGCCCTCTGCAACCTTAGGATTTTTTAATTTTTTTATTACTATTGCTTTTAAGGCATAATCTCAACCCAATAGAAAAAAGAAACAGCTACTCCCTTGCTATACACCTTCTTAGGCTGTTTGTGGCATAGGCAGGGAAGGTGAATATAGAAAACCTTGCAGAATTTGCTCTTAGTATATCATTAGCCATAATGCACAGGATATTTATGTCCCTGAAGAACTATGTGGAAGAATTTGTAATACTTCAAGACTAGTTGGCTAAGGGATGGGATAGATTGCTGTACTTTCAGACGTGACCACTTCTTTTGAGATGCTAGGACATGACACAAATGCTGTAAAATAAATGAAGTAAGAATTCTACATCTGTATGAGTTGTACTCTGTGTTATTATTTGAATCAATCATTTGCTGCTGTAGCCCACAGTATCTTGCCTGTTAAATGGCCACTGTTACTGCTATGATGCTGGACTGTGTTCTTTAGCAATGATAGAAAACGATGCATTGATAGGACTATAACACACTGACAGATCTTTACAGCTAATATTGTTTACAGTTTTGGCCTCTCTTCAGCTGCACAGAACCCTTTCATCTGAGATTAGGTTGGACTATTTTAGCTTTACAAACTTCAAAAAGAAATGGGATGGAGCAATAATCCAAACACTCAATACAAGTAATAGTTTATTAACGTATGTAGAACAAATACTCTGAAGCTGACTTAAAATCTTTCTTAGTAATCCTACCTGACACTTTTGCTTTCTCAGATCTCTTTTTACTATGTACATTTCCTCTGCTGGCTAAATCCATATTCCCCAGTCAGTCTCCAAAGCAACTTACTTAAAAGAGCAGAAAGCTGTTTGAGCAGAAAGAAAAAAGATAAGGAAAAAACTTATGCTTCCATACAGAGGTTACTGTGAGGGCTATGTCTTGTTAAAATGCTTCTTAATTCCATGTCTTTCCTGCTGTAAATCTGCAAACTGAGGTCCTTAGAGGCTTTAAGTTCCATCTGAGAAACATTACTGACATTCAGAGACCAATGCAAAGTCAGTAATGTGGATTTGTCACCATTATACTTCTACCACCACCACCTTTCACCATACAAAAATTTTGAGGCCAAAATCCTCTGTAATATTCCTGTCCATTTTTCCTTGTGAGCCTTGTCCTTGCAGTGTGATACATACCCTGCTACACCAACATTCTCAGTTTCTGCAGCGGGAACTCTTGGCTTTTTGGAAAGCACGGTGCAATTAACCTAGAATAGTCTTTCTATTTTAGCAAGAAGTTCTGACGGTGCTGCCTTACTGTGCTGTCAATCTTGAAGTGAGATGTTAACAAATAAATAAATAAATAAATAAATAAATAAATAAAAGCAATAGGATTGTAAATCAGTTTAGGAATATTGCTCTTCCCTGGGAGCTAGCTGTGATTTCCTTCTAAATTTTTGTTAGAAAGGTCAAAGCCTTTGAACTACAAATGTTAATGCAGTCATTTACTTCTGTAAGTCACTCTGCCTCTCAGCTATGCAGATTTTTGTAAAAATCAGTAAGTAGCTTATAAGGTCAAAGCTTTTATTTAAAATGGATAATATGCTTTTCTACCAGTTTAAAACTAATGAAATGAGCCTGCAGTACAGTGGGGGTGGGATTCTGCTACAAGAATGACCTGTTTTCCCTTTGTGGTTTTGCTGTTGACTCCTTACCTGACCACATCTAATAAATTCCAAAGGAAAAATAAAACACACACGACATATTTCCCTTGAACTTCTTCCTGACTGTTGATCACGACAAATAAAACAATTACTCTCTCAGTGATCTGAAAAGAAAAAAGAATTGTGAATTCAGGGTATACCTTCTATAGCTCTCTTTTCTATCTATTTTGGAAAAAAAAAAAAAAAAAAAAGGAGGCCACAGGTGAATCCAGTTTTCTTTACACAAATGCTCCAGTGAATGTTTTGCTTCTTGACCCAGCTGGCCTCCAGCTCAGGGAACTGTAAACTGTTGGCTGCAGCATCATGGCTCTTCTATGGTAAGGGGCGAGGTTTGCTTGCCAACGGGGATGATGAGAGTTTGTACGCCAGGAAACCTGTGGATTAGCTGGCAGAGGTCAGGGGAGCAAAGACTTCTCCCACTGTGCCCCTGAAGGTGCCTGGAGGGCTGGTGGACGTAAGGTTCCTTGCTAGTAGGCTGCATGGGAGGCCATGGGATGCAGAGGGTCCTTGGGTGGGAAAATATGCCACACACTGCTGATCTCACAGTCTTTCCATAGCTTGGAGATCTGTGTCCCAAGAGGTATCTCTCATGAAAGATTTCCAGAAAGGGGGAGGAGGAAAAGTAGAATACTTTATGGGTTTTTTCCCATTCTATTCCTGGCTAGAAATGAGTTTAGTCTTACCATTTCATAACAACATTTGCCATAATATTTATGTCATAACATTTTTCTAGTAGTTGAACCTTATCCAACCCACAAGGTATGCCTTTACAAACTAGAAGATATAAAAGCAGATTAAACAGACAGTGTCTCCAGCTTAAAAAAAAAAAATACTTTGGCAATATTGAAGCTCAAGAAATGAAAAAAAAACTGTGTCTTTTTGCAGCTTTCTTGGACAAGTTTCCTATCAGTATCCATGCCCTGCCCTGCAAAATAAATGTATCTGTAATATTCAGTACTGCAAAGAGTTTCCTGTGCAACTCTCCCGGAACAGTATTAGTTCACTCAGATTTACACTCTCTTTGAAAGCACTGAAGGAGAAAACTTGCTTCTATTCAGTTGGTATGAATCAGTATAGCTTCATTGGGGGTTTTTTATAGCCACTGCCATCTCTTCCATAAGGCACCTTAGGCTTAATGATTTTATGGGTTAAGATGTCGAGTCAGTGAAAAATCATGCAATGAAAACAGATTAACAAGGTGGTTTTTATAAGCACAGTCATTCTTCTTCACTTGGTTTCCCCCTTCCCCTTACTCCTACCTTAAATAAGAACTTTGCATTTCATCAAGTTTGTGCTGTAGTTTTGCTACATAGTGTTTACTGGTTCCTGCACGGAACATTTTGGCTACAGAATTTTTTTTGAAAACCACATGTGTCAGATAAAGCAGCCATCACTTCACTATTCAGCAAAATTACGTGAGAGGATCTGGTTCCTCATCTTGAAAAGCACTGAAGGGCCAAGACAGATAAAAGTGGTCTTGCTGCCTCTCACCCTGCCCTGACTGTGATCTTGTGCTGCTGATCCCATTGGTCCCTAACTGAGGAACTGATTTCTAAGAAGGTCAGATGTTGACAGACCTCTGTAAGATGGGCCAGGAACAGAGAGTGAGAGGTAGTGAGTCCTGTGTTTGTACGCTGATGTTGAGGAACCTCACAAGAAAATGGGGGAACTGGAAGTGTTGATGCAGGATCTGAAAGCAGATACCACAGAGATAAGAGAAGCATGGTAGGACAACCATCAAAAGAGGGAAATCAAAACAAAGGTAAAAGCAGTGTGAACATTGAACTCGGTTGTGTGTGGGAGAGAATAAATAAAATAGAACCTGAGTTGAAATCATTTTAGTGGAGGGTTGTAAAGGAGTAAAGCATTGGTGGTGCGGGCATTTTGTTAGCAACCCTATAATGAGGTGGGATGTGGAGAGAGAGTTCTGCAATATTGTTAATATCAGAGATCTTTCAGGGAATTATCTGACCTAGAGACCAAAGCTTTATCACAACAGTGAAAAGGTGGCTGTGTTTTTAGATTTGAGAGCTGGCAGATTTTCCAAACAGTCAGTTGCTCTTCAAAAGTGATAGAAAACAGCATGGGTCAAGTGATCAGGAGCTCATCCCATTTCAGTGAGATAAAAGGATAAGCAGCAAACAGGTAGCTACCATCCAGGCCAGGGAGGGTGAGTGAGTGGCTGTGTGATGTTTGGCTGCCAGCTGGTTTGCAACCACAACAATGAGGATAGACTGGGGCATCCTACCTCTTCTCTATGTAAATCAGGAGGTTGCCTGCCTGCTTACCTTTATTACCCTTCAAGACATTGTGCTTTTTTCTTTCACCTTTAGATAACTCACACAAATTGAAGGTGGTGGCAAGGGTTAGTTAGAGTCTGGGGACCTTTTCAGCAAGTGAGAAGGCAGGTTGCTACTTGAAGAAGAGGAGCTTCCAGTAAATGTCTGTTGATATTGTCCCCCTACACACACATCTGTGTACGTATATACATGAAATCACGTACATATATATACACACATACATGTATACACATATATATAAAAAGCATGTGCTGCTGCTCAGCCACAGCTCATTTCTCCTACAGATCATCTGTCCTCCTCACATGAATGGAAATATGGTATTCTCTGTTGCTACTCTCTTGCTTAAAAAAATAAGCAAAACTAGAAGGCCTGTGTTTTCATGTTCATAAAAAGGAAGTATATGCTGACACCTCACAAAGCATAAATACAGTGGTTTCATTTTTCATTCCTTCTTGTTCTTTGTGTTAAAATCAAACTGGAATTTCCTTCCTCTCCCAGCACTGGTCTCTCAGAGGATACAGCAAGTTCTGTAGAATGGCATAAATTTCCACAAGGCAGCCTGAGCATTTGAAGCAAGTAAGTGAGACAGAGCAAATCAGACTAGCTGAGGTTAGGGCAGGAGAAGGCAGCACATTCACTTCCATTTTTTAATAACCGTGACTGTGCAGGATTGTACTTGGTACCTGAAACCCTTACATAGCTCTTTGATTTACTGACTGTTTAAAAAAAAAAAAAAGTGACTAAGTATTTAGATTAAGTTAAAAATTAATGTTTTTATTACAAAGCTATAGTATGTTGCTTTTGGTCTGGTAAATTCAATCCTCTTTGCACAGGATGAAGAACTGGTGTTTTCCACTGGTGGTTTTATTCACAAAAATGCATCTTTTCATACATCTTTCCTACTCTCTCCCTTGCTAAAGTACCAGTTCCATCAGCCTTTACTCCCTGGCCAGACTACTAAATTTAATTATCCTCTGTTTTGGCAACTACAATGACATGTGACACATTCTCCTGTTCTCCTCTCAATTATTCAAACTGCAAATGCCCTGAGAGACATCCCTTTACCAACTTTGTGACCCTCCCTTGTCTTCCCTTACTTCCTCCAAAGTATCCATCATACAGGTCTCCTCTCTCCCATCTTGTGACTTGGCCTTGGCCTCCCTAACCCTTCTCAGGTGCCTGGTGGCCTGAGACTTTGTCACTCAATGAAGCCATACTGAATGTTTTTTTTCCAGAAAACACCTCTGAGTTTGCTTTTCCACTACCTGTAAGGTGTATCTCAAAGTGTTCCTTGTAAATGCTACTAAACCACAATATTTGGCAGAAATCCTTCATTCAGACTGTGCTTAAATCTTGTCTCTGCTATAATGCCTACAAAACAACCAGCCACCACAGGGGTGCTTTCACGGCTTCTTTAGGTGGCATTACTTCCACCCATGTGCTTCCCTGACATTGCCAGAGCCACCTGTTCTCGCATCCTAGGATCACCTGAGATGTTCACTGTGGATATGCATGTGTGTGGATGTGCACGGCTGAGGGACGCATCTAGGGATATGTTTTAAGCTTGGAGTCAGAACAGATGGTGGCAATGCAGAACAGGGCAGCCACTATCAAATTCTTGCAGCTTTACCAGTGTCCCAACTATGCGCAGTAGTCAGTAGGCTGCAGTAAGGTAAGCATCTCTGTCTGTCAACAGTGCATTGTCGAAAATATATCTTCATTTTTTTTCCTAGGGAGGAAATTGTTGCACAGCACATGAAATACTGTTGTCACACAACTGCTTAACCTGCACTCTCACAGCTAAAGCAGGGCAACCCAAGGGAAAGCAAAGTCTACACTAAGAGTTTGTATACCTTGCTTGGACAGCATGAGACTACTGCTAAAGTCAAGGCGAGAGAGTGGTGTTTGTGGTCAGAGAACACTTGAGGAAAGAATGAAGTAAGGATCCAAAGCTATCTGTGTTTGGAGTCACAGTGCCGTATCGTTCCTTGACCCACTTTCTCCATGCTGCCCTGGAGAGCACTGTAGTAATTGCACTGCCCAAGAAAGGTCACAGTTTTCTTGCTCAGAATGTCCATTTCATATCTAGCGTCTTTTGTGGCAGCACAGAGCAGTGTTTATGCAGGCTTCCCTGATCTCTGCTTCTGTAGGGCTGGGTAAGAAAGGAACAGACTACATCAGGGCTGGGGAATGTGTAAACTCTGCCAGGACAAGCCTTGCTTTAATGACTGTTAGCAGGCTGCTGTTCTCATTTTTTTTTTTTTTTTTTTTTTTTTGCCTAGGTCAGTGTAAAAGCATGTAGATTTAGGCAGGGGAAGAGTTAATGGCATTTTGACAGATTTGCTACCATATTTAGTGAGCAGCATAAAAAACAGAGATCTGTATTAGTCAATCAATTTCTAATGGAGATTTTAAAAGAGGAACATCTTCACCCATGAGGTATGTCATTGTAACAAAAATGGGCTATCCAGAAAACTACAAACATAACTAACTACTCTTAATCTTCTACCTTCCGATTGCTGAGAGCAATACCAGTTTCACCATTATTCAAATACTAAGGATTTGAAAAGTTTGAAGATAAACTCAAGTCAACATTTTTACTTTTTCCAGCACATTAAGACAAATACCAAAACCTGAGACTAAGTCTCAACAGAAAACAAGAGTATGGTAAGGAAGATGTCAGAGAATGATCTTGCTTTCTGCTATAGCATGTGATCTTTTGGCTGTTTTTCTGCCTACAGCTGAAAATACACCCTGTAAACCCCTTAACAACATCAGAACCTCTGGATGTTGACACAAGTTGCCCATGTCTGGGCAGAGACCCTTACAGCAAGAATATGACCATTCTCCTTTCTTTTCTCTCCCAGCATTAATTATTTTTTGTCCCTTCATTTCTGAGTTCTTTTCCTACCGTACTCCATGACCACCAGCAAACTGTTTCAGGAGGCTTGATGTGCTGGTGGTTTTCTCACTGCTATCCCTTTGCTACCCCACAAAATCATGTCTTTTGCTTCTCTGCAAAATAAATATACACTTGTCAGTGAGGAAATGGTATGGAAAAGAATTAGCTACTGAAACTTACACTCTGAAATGTTGTCTTCTGGCCGTAAGCAAGTTGGCTGGGGAGGACGTATCCTCAGCCACCTATGGCACCCTAGAAATGGGGCCACTTATATGGACATCTTCCAGGTCCCTGCTGTGTGGGCTGGGCATGGAGCACTCACTATTCATTTTCACTTAAAAAAGAAAAAATTTGTGAGAGCACCTCTTTCCCAGCCTAGTTCTGAGAGCTCAGTTCCTGCAGTTAACAAACCATTAGCAGATTAAAGTGCCTGAGGAAAGGTGCAGGTGGACCATTCAAGGTAGTTCAGTCTGGGCTTGTCCCCAGGGGCAGCCATGGCTGAAGTGTGCAGGTTGTGGAAGGAGTGTCTTGAGAAATAGACTTACCTGCAAAAACCTGGGGAAAAGATGGCTCTTATCAATGCCAATGAGGATGTGTAGGATTTCCAACATAGATAACAACTGGCAAAGGCGCATTACAAGTCCTATGGAGTAAAATGTGTCGGCCAATGAATCTACAGGTAAAATGAAGATGAAAATTAGAGGCTGGTTATATGGTAAAAGCCCGGATGAACTACTGGGTTTGCTCTTGCCCTGTCACCACTGGAGATGACAAGAAATTAAATTCACACAGCACCAAACTTTTGGGTAGCAGAAGCAAAGCTTCGGGGAGGAGGTAGTCCATTCTCTGTGTGTGGCCCTGACACAGAGGTAGGAAGCTGAGAAAAGAATGGGATCCCCTGTACTTGATGCACTGGCAAACATTGTGCAGGATGTGTTGGTTTAGAGAACTGCTTTAGGATATTTCTGAATATGTAGAAATGCTGAGGAAATGTATGAGGAATGTCTAAACGAGGAGATGTGGAGTTCCTGCCTGTATCTGTACCCATGACGCTTCCTAAAACAAGCAGACCACAAAGCAGATATTTTATGTACCTACAACTGTCCACCGTTAAAAATAATTTTAAATTTCCAGCAACTAGTTTTCTGGTTTTGTGCCTTAACCCCAGGCAACAGAAAGACAAATATGTTGCACAGACTCATGCACAACAACCACAAAGATATTCCCTCTTCAATAGGATTAATATTCACCATAATGACTGGACCTAGTCACATTTAAGTCAGTGTCTAGTCAAATGTTAGGTTGACTGACAGGTTAGGTCAGTCAAATGTTACAAGTATGCTGCTGAATAGTAAAGCTCATTAGCAAAACAGGAGTTTCATTCTTGATATGATACAGGCAGAATGTAGGTACTAGTAGTTTGTTCATCCTTTTTAATGGATAAAACAATGTTTTTCTAATTGAAATTACAGCCCCTGGTATTGGTCGTACACCTATTTGGAATCCTAACTTTAATTTGATGTTTCTGTGTGTCACTGACTTTTAAAATGTTTAAGGAAAACACAGAAGGAATCCTACCTTTTCCAAAGGACAGGAACCTGATGATCATATTTGTAAATATCCAGGAATGTCCACAGAATTGCATTAAGTCATACACAAAGAGGTAGGTGTTCATGGTAAAGCTGTGGAGGTGAAAATGATAAAGCAAACTGTATGACTTACTACAACATTCAGGCTTTCTAACCTGTAGAAATCACACCCTGTTTGTTAGTATCGCAAAGGAAAACAGCTGAAATGTAAACAGATCAGTGAAAACTCTCCATGTCTGTCAGTGGTCACAGAGCAGTACTCTTCCTAATGGATCAAAGGCTCCTTTTGTTGGTATACCTAGGTTATGGCCCCCAACATTTTCTGAGTTTCCACCAGTGATGAAGGTGATCTGTGGTCATACAGTGAAACTTGTGCCTCCAGAGGAAAAATTAACTAAACTAAGACAACACTCAGTGCTGGATTCAAGCCTCAGCCCCTCAGCTTGGCTCTGCTTTGACAGTGCAGCCAGACTCGAGGAACCGCTGGGGTTGCACCCACCACAGCGCTGCTCAGGACTTCACAGTCTCACAGACACCAGCGCTGGGGTTTCTGCATCTGGGTGAAGTTTATCCTGTTCCTCCCAGAAGACATGCCTCTCGTATGCGCTCAAGACAGCTTAGAGTACAGTGCAAATAACTTGCAGTGTCTGCAGCAGACAGCATAGTTGTAAATAAAATAGATGAAGAAATAGAAAAGAAAGCCGCATTTCAATCTGCTTTTATTTGCAGTCCAAAGAATAACTGTCTTTTCCTTTTTTAACCAACTTGTTCCACAGGTTTTCCAGATAAACATTAAACTAGGGTCTTTGTCTTTCTGCACAGCCTGTGTTTCAAGTTGCATTTAATAAAGTGAATCTTCTCCTGTTGGAGCAGACTAACTTTTGTAACTACTCTAACCTAATTTTCATAGGTAATCTGAAAACTTCATAGGCTCTGGAGATGCTCAATTTCTCTTTCCCATGAATGTAATTTCTTCTGACTTAGCACAGAGAGAGAAGCTTACCTGTATTCCAGCTGTGAAAAGGATTGTCTACTTCTTTGGGAAAACAACTGGTTAATTTTGTACTCGAATTTATGTCCTGTGTTTGACCAATTAATTTCTTGTCCCAATAAGTAGTAAGACGTCTTTAAGTTTCCCTTGATCCAGTGTGTTGATGTGGTATGTCTCTGACTTCAAACTTTATTTGTATCTGTACATTAACAAACACAGTGAATTTCTGTGTTTAGAAATATCTAAATATGATAAATGCATATACTTCATTCCCAGCATTGGACCAAGACCATAAGACGCTTCTGTAAAGGAAGTCATAGAAAATGCCTTTCTTCCTCTCTTCCTGTGATGCAGGATTGCTGCTACTCATATCATCACTTCTATAAGCACAGAAATATTCATTGGCATAATTTACTTTGCAAAAGTCATCAGTGCCCTTTGATACAATGAAAATATAACATATGAGGACCTAGACAAAGGAATGTATTCCATAAACACTCCTTTTGTGAAAAATATGATTCTACTGAAGTGGACTAAAGTCCAGTGAGCTCTGTAAATATTCACCCAAAATCCCATCTGCCTTACTACTTAATGACACTTTGTTCTCCCTCATGGTAAGAAAAAAGATGGGACACCGTGCCTTACAAAAAGTCAAAAAATTAAGAAAATTGTACTGATTTAAGAAACAGACTTATTACTAGTTGGATAGGAATTACCGTAACAGGTATGAAAGTTACAGAAACGGTTAGAAAAATCTTGAGGCTTTCCAGTCAGCATGTTCACCAGTCTGATGGTCTGATACTGCCATGTGGGCTTTGCACAGGATGCAAGCTGAGCATACAGTTTCTCTCCTCTTCTGAAGTTTAGTTGGCTACATCTGTCTCTCATCCTCAGAACTTGTCTTTCAGTGATGTGGGGATTATTTTCTGAACTCATCCTCCATTGGTTGGCTAGAAAACTGTTGTCTTCACAGCTCTTGAACTGCCTAATCCTGGCTAAACAGGGCATGACCAAGAGGATGTTTGTAAACACTGCTTCACACTAGTGTTTTGGCAATGTGGCAGCCCTTGCATGTTAGAACTCATCATCTATAAAATGTACTGGCAACTACTGAAATACATACATACTGTTGGCATTTATGGAAAGCCCCATATTCCCAAAGCGTAGAAATGTGCTGGCAGGCAGTGTTCCCGTGTTACCTGGAAGACCGATCCTGGCCCCAGAGCTGTGAGCCTCACAGCTCTCTCATTTGGTGATGCTCTCCACTGCGTAAAGGAACAGCCCTGATCTCAAAATGCAGTTTCATTCTACTGTGTTAATCCCTGCAAAAAAGGTACCTAAGACCAAACAAAAGCCTTTGTCAGAAGTGAAGAACTCTGCAGAGGATAAAAGGTGATGTCCGTGTAATCAAAGGAAACTGAAATGTAACTGTTCTCTAAGATCTTTCTCATCCAAAGGCTGATCTCTTTACCTAGAGAACCAGAAACAGACTGAGGATAACTCATTTCACTGACTTAACATTTTGTATCACAACACAAAATTTAGCCCTCTGCTTCTATTTCAAAGGTCACTGGCAGAAGAGATGGGCTTTAATTAGATTTCCTCGGTTCACAGCAGGTGTCATTCCACATTCACCTCACAGAGTCTGCTTCTGCAAGCACCCTTGCAGACAAAACACTGACTAGCAATCCAACAGGTACCTGTTTAGTTCCTGACTTGCTGCCTGATTTTACAAACCTCACTTAGCCTCCCTGGTGCCTGATCTGTAAAATGGACTTTCTGCTGCATTTATTGCTTGTAGTGTGATGTGATTTAACACTTTCAAGTTGCTTTCATATGAAGGCACTGAGGGAGCACTGCACATTTCAGTAGTCTGCCTGCATTGATGACAGGAGAAACACACATGGGTCTTGCAGGAGAGAGACCCAGAAGACTGGACTTGCTCTCAGCGGTTTTAGTAGACAGTTCCATGTTACTTACTGTGGCTGATTTTATATCAAATACATCGCAATGCTAGGGAAGTATGCATCATATACAGGGCCAGCCTTGCTTAGTGGAAAGCTTTATCTGCTTTCTGTCTGGGCAAAAAGCCTAGGAAACTAGATGAAACCATAAGACTACCCAGAACTAGCATACACAGCAGCATGGTCCCAAATATCCTCTTTTCCTTTTTATTCACCAGCAGAGATTTTACCAGTGACAGTTTTAGCTTGCAAAACCTGATGTATTTCCACAGGCAGAAAGATCACATAATTGTTGCATTTTTATTATTTTTAGGTCTTCGGCGTGTCTCTGTGGTAGCTGTCATCAGACATAAGTATGGAGGTAGGTGCCCTCATTGTCTGAAGGGTGGTCAGGACCATGTCCCCCTTGAGCTAAGGTGACAGCACAGCAGTGGCACCCAGCTCAGGGCAGCCCTTGCCTTGGCTAGGTGTCCCTTGCAAGGTGCCAGGATGAAGGCTACAGTCGAGTCCCTTTCAGGGGGGTCCCACCCAGGCCTGCATGAACTGAGCCCTTTCGTACCTTTGGAGCTTTGGCACTCTGCTGCCTTCCTGTGCACCCATACTAGCTGGTCACACATGAGGAAGCAACCCTTGCATGGAAACCAGAGAGAGATTTTTTTTTTTTTTTTTTTTTTTTTTTTTTTTTCCCCGCCCCCTGCAGGAAAGGTCTGCTAAAAAAGCCCCTCTACTAACACAGTTTCCTTTTAAGTCATGCTGGTCTGAATTTCTACGCCCTCCCCCTCCCACCACCGTGACAAGCTGCAAGCGCTATAGCTCAGAAGAAAGCTGCTGAGAGCCAGTACAAAAGATGTACTTTTCTCTCACAGGCACATCCCACCCCAGGTTTTTTTTCCCCCTTTTCACATTTGAGTAGTCTAGGTCACTTGCACTCAAGAGATATTACCTGTTGCAGGGGTCGGATTGCTGCTCCTGATCTTTCTCCTTTTTTTCTCTCTACAGCTGCAACAGCTGTTTGTTAGGAGATCACCCCTCCTCTTTCCTCTTCCCCCACCCCATGACGTCACTGTATGTAACACTAAGCAGGAACAACACTGCACTTCCCGAGAAAGGAGTGTCTAGCTCCAAATATCTCCATTGCCCTGCTGCTCACCCAGCCTAGCCTAACCTAACCTAGCCTAACCTAACCTAGTCTAACCTAACCTAACCTTAACTGGGTTCTTGCTGCTGTACCAATAAGCTAGTCTGTAATTCCTATTAACTTTGTCTCTTAACCCAGAGCAGTATTTTGAAAAATCACTGGAGAGAAGAAATGCAAAATTTTAAAATTGTTCTTCTTTTCTGTTTAAAACATCAGCACTATAACAATGCTAACAATACTATCAAATGATAAGGAAGGTTGGGTGCATAGCATAAAAAGAGCACTTTAAATTATTTCAGATAGAGGAAAGAGGTTTTCTCTTCTTATCTAGAAACGTCTGTTTATTCATGCCTTTGTGAAATATGGGCACTACTGGCAGAGGAAATGTATGTGTGCATCCTAGTTTACTTCTACCCTTAAGTATCTGGGATATCTCAGCATAAATCAGATGAAGAAGAATGTCATAACATGTTTATAAAATCACTTCTGCCAATAAATAATTTTTTCCCACTGGCACTCATATTGACAGTACATCACATCCTACAAGTAGTTTTGAAATTTGATGTTGGGTCCAAAGAAGTCCCCAAGGATGTAATCAGCATAGGATGTTATGTGTAAGTACAAAAATTCTGGCGAATAAAATGTGCTACTGGGTCTCATCCCTGCTGTGAGTGACACTGAGCTCCTGGCAGGATGTCCTGGTTCAACTGGGATAAGGTTATTTCCCTAGCAGTGGGGAGAGGGCTCTAGCCTGGTTATTCATACCATGCTGAGGTCAGGACCATGCGCCAAGCATGGGAACCGTTTCCTTTGTGGCTTTTGTCTGGGGATGCATGTGCAACAGGCTGGCTGTGTCCCGTGCGGTATTTCTCTGTATATCTTTTGTCTTGTTTGCTGTTATTACTGTTTATTGTTGTTATTATTGCTATTGCTGTTGTTCATTATTTGTTACACTGTTGTATTAAATTTTTCCTTATTTTAACCCAGGGTTTGTTCCCTACTCGATCCAAGGGTGGGGGAGGGACAACGGCAACGTGGTCTCTGGTCCTGGCAGGGCTTAAACCAACACACAAGACCATCTCCACTCTCTGTGGTGTCCTGGAGAGGTGAGAAATGGCTCCCTGGCAAGTGCGTGATTTCCTGGCAAACACAGTGCAACACCATGTTTTTCCTGGCTATG